GGGTGTGAACTACTGATCTTGTTCTGCAGTCGTGGGACTCGTCAGCAAGGGTTCGCTCTAAAACTCTACCCAGGACTGGGCAGGAGTTGTTTTAAAAAGTCTTGGTTCATTTGTATAATAAAAAACAAAGTTTACAAACTAGAGATATGTTATTTATCGGAGAGGATTTTGTAGGTAAGTTTTTGAATGATCCAAACTTGAAAATGGAGTTAATAAACGCTGAAATGAGGAAGGCTGTTTTCTTTCCTCCTCCTGCACTGGCTTTTCGGATGCTCCCACGTGCCTGCTGCCCACTGGGAACAGGAGAGACGGAGACGACTCCTGATATCAGTGCTGCTGGAAGAGGGGGTGCCGGCTGGAAGACAGAGTCAGAGGGGTTGGCCGCTAAGCCCTGCTGGGTGAGGGACGTATGGTGAAGAGTGAGGGGGGGTCTTCAGGCCACCTGGAAGGATGCAGGAAGTAGATCATGGGGCTTTAGGCCTCCGTGAGCATTTTGACTTTCCTCTTTTTTTCTTTTTAAAACATTTATGGGATGAGATGGGAATTTCCTCAATGTCTTTTGTCAGTAGCTTCTGTTTCCGTTACGATTGTATCTGGTGGTAAGGAATGGAATAATGTGCTGTGAGTGACCTACACAAACAGGAATTACGTTTTCTCAATAACAAGTCAGAGGTTGGTGGCTGCAGGTGCCGATTCAGTGCCTGGATGGAGTCAGGACCAGGGCCAGCCTGTCCGTGATCCTGATCTCCTTCCACATGCCAGATGCTTCAGGGTCTCAGGCGACTCCTGAGGCATTCAGGGAAGAAAACGGGGCAGGGATGGCAGAGCAGCCGCTCCGTCCCTTCTGTCAGGCAAGCTGTGGCTTTCCCACGATATCCCCTCCATCTTCTCCTAGGTCCCCCAGTCGCAAAGTGGGAGCAGGACTGGCTTTGTCCACCGTTTCTCAACCTCGGCGCTGCTGACAGTTTGGGTCCCACAGCTCTTTGTTATGACTTTGTCCCCTGCATCCCTGCATCATTTAACAGCATCCCTGACCCTGACCCTGTAGATACCAGTAGTGTTCTCCTAGTTGTAACAACCAAAAACGTCTCCAGAAATTTCCTGAGGGACAAATTCACCTCCACTTGAGATACAGGTTCAGACCTATGAGATTCATTGCCTGGGCTGGGCCTACTGCCTTCCTGGGCAAAACCAGGTTTTATTGGCAAGGAAGAGGGGGACTGGCAACAGTGTCTGTTGCCGGCCACTCATTGGAGGTGAGCCTTCCTGGGTCTCGGCCAGGCCCAGCTCTGCTTCTCCCTGGGCTGGCTCTGTGAAGCCTCCCCTTAGCCCTGGGAGGCAAAGGATATTGTTTCCAGTGTGCAGAGGTTTAAAGGACTTGCCCGGGGTCACTCAGCCGCCACGTGGCAGTGCTGGGGTCCAGAGTGAGCCTGGTCAGCATGGCACCTGCACTCCTGACTGACCGCCAGCCAGCCCTCGTGTAGGGTGAGGGAAGCTCGTGGTGGGACACCTAATCTCAGCAGTGGGGCCAGCCTGCTCGTGCCCCCTCTGGAGTGGCCTCACTACATCCAAGACCTCTCTTGAGTCAGTTCACCAGGCTGCCAGGGCTATGTCCTGCCGGGTTTGCCTTCTCTGGAGCCCCCACATGCTATGTCCTTGCTTCCCTAGAACCAGTTTGGCTGGCCCCGATGGAGCATCAGCTTCAAAGCCACGCCAAGAAAAATATTTTGGTTTCTCATGTGGTGGATCACAGGCTGCTCCTGGCAGGGCTCGAGCCTGGCTCTTGCCTTGAAGCAGTGAGAGTGGAAGCTTGGAAGGTGCCACGTGCTGCTTGAAAGTGGAAACTTTGTGGTGAAGCTTTGTGTGCTGGTGTTCGTGAGATTGATTAGGCTTTGGTGTAGGACCTTAGGGTTTAATTAGAAGCTTTGCCACTTCCCAGCTGGGTGACCTTGGGAAAGCCACTTCACCTCTTCAAGCTTCATCTCCTGATCTGAAAACCAAGGGTTATCATGGTCCCTGACTCATAGGGTCATTTGAAGAGCCATTGAGATAGTGGTGGTGATGGCATGTACACAACGTTAATTTCATCGTCCCCCAGCATCTGTGACCCACCTTTCCTTTGGGATAGAGCTGGGAATTGTAGAAAGCCATTTTCTGGACAATTTAGACCCTGTCAGCCCCCGTGTTTAGCCCTAAAAGGCTCTGAAGGGGCCATAGGATAGGTACAAGATAGCCTCCATATGGCAGGGCTGGGGTCCAGAGTGAGCCTGGTCAGCATGATCAGAGGGAAGAGGGATGCCAGGCTGGCTTGCAGCCTGCTTTTAGTGACAGGACCATTACTCCATGGCCTGGCCTGCACTGTCCCCCGAGAGCAGACACAACAAAGAGCTGTTGGATGCCCGTCATTGGCCTGATCTCTGGCTCACATGGCCATAGGCAGCTTCTAAATGTCTCTGAACAGAGCTTCTCATGGGTGTCTGTAAGGGGCTGCCCTCCAGAGCCTCACTTGGGGCTGGCCAGCAGCATCTCCCAGCCAGCCCCAGTCATGACGACCAGTTCAGACTGAGCCTGAACCAAATGAGCCTCATGCTTGGGGCTTCTACCAAGACCCCGTGAAGGAAGAGCTTTCTTCCCACTTGGGTTGTTGCATGGAGGGGATGGAGCTAGAACCGCAGGTATGTGTTTGGGAAACAGCACGTGGACAGAACCTATTTGAGAGAGACAGCAACACGGAAACACCAGATCCAGGCGAGCCCCTGTGTACAGCCATGCCTGAAAGCCCTGCGCTTTTACTACAAGAGCTGATGAATTCCTTCTGTAGCTTAAGCCCTTTCAAAGTGATATGAGACCAAAGAGCAGGCAGAGGAGCCTGGTAGTAATGCCCCATAGCTTCAATAAGTACAAAAGCTCTGGGCTCCTGAAAGGGACTGGTATTGTTATGACTGTTGGCACCCAGAGGGTGAGGCTGGAGTCTCAGCTTTGTCATTTGCTAGAATAGTACTCTTGGGCGCCTTGTTTCACCTCTCTAAGCCTCAATTTACTTACCTGTACAATGGGATGACACTGTTTCTCAGTGGTTATGAGAATGAAATAAGGCGTAAGGAACTTGGCATGGTACAAGTGGAGTGTTTGATACAATGTAGCCATTGTCTAGGAGCAACAAATGGCAACGGTGAGTGTGAACAACTGCTACTGCTAATAATAAAAGCTATAGTCATAATAGCAAGACTGGTAACCACCAAGAGTCATGACTCCAGCCTGCAGACTAGCCGGCTGGAGCTGGGAAACTTTTCTCTGGGTCCTCCCTAATCAGATCCTAGCAGTGGGGGGTGGCACAGACTCTGTGGCACCTCCTTCCTCTGCAGGTGCTACTGTGACCACTTGATGGGAAGCCAGCTTGTTTACCTTCCAGACCAAGGAACCCAGTTCATCTATAGGCCTGCAGTGCTGGGCCCTCAGAGGCCTAGGCTCTAAAGTCAGTGCTCCTTCATCACCAGAGACCTGGTAGGTGACAGCAGGGTGCTGCAGTGCTCAGCTGTCTATACCTGCCAGACCCCACTCTTTGGTGACAGCTCCTGGATCTTTGTTTGGGGACCTTAAGGTTGTCATATTTAGCAATTAAAAGTATGGCTCACACTTGTAATTTCTTTTTTTTTTTTTTTGAGTTGGAGTCTCACTCTGTCGCCCAGACTGAAGTGCAGTGGCCGCTCCCGGCCACCGCAGCCTCCACCTGCTGGGCTCCGGCGATCCTTCCACCTCAGCCTTCCGAGTAGCGGGAATTACAGGCATGCACTACCACGCCCGGCTGATTTTTTTTTTATTTATTGTAGAGATGAGGTCTCGCTGCCCAGGCGGGTCTCGAACCCACGGGCTCAGGCAATCCACTCACCTCAGCCTCCCAAAGGCGCGGGATTACAGGCTGAGCCACCGAGCCCAGCTCACACTTGTAATTTCAGCACTTTGGGAGGCCAAGGTGGGAGGATTGCTTGAACCCAAGAGTTGGAGGTCAGCATAGGTAACAGCAAAACCTCATCTCTACAAAAAATAAAAAAAATTAGATGGGCATGGTGGCTCATGCCTGTAGTCCCAGCTACAATAAATAAATGAATGACTAAACAAATAAATAAATTAAAAAAATAAAAATATAGAATGCTTGCAGAGAAACAAATGATTTATTAGTATAATATGTCCCAAATATTGCATGGATGTATTTATACTAAAAAACTAATTTTATTGTCTACCTTAAATTCAAATTTAATGGAGCATCCTAAATTGTATCTGTCTATCCCAGGAGCACTGACCACCCTTCAACTATGTGATTCTCCTGGAGGCCAAACTGGCTTCAGGTCTGCGCAGATGAATTCAGATCTGACCAATTGGAGCCACCTACCCAGCTGGCCACACTGATTGGTTCAGAGACAGGCATGTGATCCAGTCAGGGAACAATGAATGTCTGCCTGGCAAATAAGGAGGGGCTGCTGAGACCCTTTGCTTAGACCAGGTCGAGTCTCTCTCTCTCTCTCTCAAGCCAGTATGGATGCCCTTCCAATCCATGGATGTGTCAGGGCATCTGGATGCCCAGGCAAAGAACAAAGCTGGACTCAGTGTTTTCTACTTTTATTTTCTAGAACAGAGCAGGTGTCATCTAGCAGAGCCCCGGCGCTTGATGCTCTTCCTTCTCACCACCTGCTCACGGAGGCCAGCCAAGACCAGGAGGGAAGAGACCCCATGGCATCCTGGCTTGCTCCTCTCTGGAATGAGTGGAGCCTGGCACTGGGAGGGAGATGGCTTGCCATAGGGGTCTCTGGGCCTGACGTGGACATCCCAGGCCAAGGGTCAGGCAGGTGGGGATAAGGGCAGGAACCAGGTGAGAACACAATTCCTGGTGTCCTGTACCAGCCCCATGACCCTACGGAGCCCTCAGCCTGGGACTGGCCAGTTGCTGCTGGGACATGAGCTCTGGCCTGGACACCTATGGTCTCAGCCCTTTGGAGAGGGCACCATAAAATGAGGCCTTGGGCAATGGTCTCGGCTCCTCGGCTTCCAGTTTGTGAGCTGCCGGGGGTGGGTAGGGACTGTGTTAGATGGTGTCGCCCTCACTATCTGACTCGATGACGCCCAGACGCAGGGAGTCATAGTTCGGGGGCGGGGTGCCCGGGATGGGCGGGCTCTGCTCGTCGGGGTAGGCCACGGTGTTGGGGCTGTGGTGGGTCGTGTCAGGCTGGAAGCCAAAGTTGGTGTGGGCCTCCACCAGCTCCGCCACAGTGGGTGGCGGGCCGGCGTAGCGAGCTTGGGTCCGCCGCTGCCGCAGGCCCTTGGCCAGGGCCACCAGCTTGATGATGGTGATCCACACGAAGTCAATGATGATCTCCCCAAACTCGATGAGGCACAGCACCGAGCCCCCCATCCAGAAGCCAAACTGGCCACCCAGATTTGAGAGCAGCCACACGATCTGTGGGGAACGGGGTTGAGGCCTGGCCCAGGGCTGGGGCTCAGGCGGCAGGTTCTTGCCTCTCTCAGTGAGCTCAGGACCCTCCCTGCCCTCAGGGTGCAGGGGGAAGGGAAGCAGGGCTAGGGTGTCGGGAGCCTCCCAAACTCACGTTATTAGCTGCTGATTCCTCAATGGTGCGATAGTTGAACTCTTGGAAGTAGATGTTGAGCTTGACAATTCCCTTCCTGCAGGGGATGCAAAAAGGGCTGGGACTATGGTTGTGCCCTCTCCGAAACACATATGCATGCACACGCGTACCTATCCATGCACACACATGCAAACAGACGAACACACACATGCCCACACACATGCACACACATACAATGCCCCCACATGCACGCACATGTTCACATGCATGCAAACACACATATATGCAATATGGACATATGCCCATGCATGTTCAATGCATGCGCACATGCACACACAACCATGCTCCCCATGCATACACGGGACACACAAACACACATACACTGAATGTCCACACATGCATGTACACATGCACACGCCTATGTGCACACACACTGGAAGGCAGCCAAGAGGCTACCCCAGTCCTCTTCTGGCCTGAGCGTCTGACATGTCCGTTTCCGTGAGTGGTGAAGTCCAAACCAGAACTAGAAGTGCCACCCTTCCCAGGCCCTCAGGGCTCTCTGCCCAGCACCCATCCTGTGACTCCATTCTCCACCCCATCCCTGCCAGTTTCCTAAAGGATACTCTGGCCTGAGACAGCCCCAAAGGGCCGCTCTGAGTTCCCCTCTCCCCACCCTCAGGATGGCCCAGCCCTTACGTGGTGACTGCACAGAGCTCCCAAGTCTTGCACTCCTGTCACTGCCCTGGAGAAGGGTGGCCACGTGGCTTCCCCTTATACCGCTGGGCCTCCAAAAGACTGCCTTGCCTCTGTCCTCCAGGTCTTTGCCCAAGCATGTCTTCTGCCTGGACATCTGTGCCTCTTCTATTAGAACCGCTCCTACTCTTCCTTGGAGAGCTGACTACCCCACCACCTGCCCATGCAGACCCCCCTTATCTCTCAGGCAGATGGAGGCATCTTCCCTGCTGGGCTCCTAAAGTGAGAGCTTGCACGGACTCCCTCCCCACACGCCCTCTTGCACAGATCTGTCCCCTAGACTCCTGATGGCTCCCGGACAGCATGGGCCGTGTGTGTTGGATGGATGGAGAGACGGATGAATGGATGGAGGCTGGATGGGGGGCAGGACGGAAGGATGGATGATGGAGGGATGAGTGGATGGCTGTGGATGAACAGGTGACGAGGGAAGCCCAGGCTCCTCCTTGGGGGACGGCAGACTCAGGGTGCCTGGGTGGCTTTTCTCTCCCTCACTCCCAGGGCTTCCTCCTCTAGGATCTGATGTGCGAGAGAGTGTCTGAGCAGCTGATCTCAGCCCCGAGGCTCTGGTTCCCCTCCCTCCTGCCTTCCCCTGCCCCAGGCTCCAGGCTCACCTGCTCAAGGTGAGGTTGGTGCTTCGGTCCCGCTCCTGAGACAAGACGTGGAAAATCCAGTCCTGGAACCCAAGAAGGCAGCTGAACAAGATGGCACCCGCAGCATTCCCTCCCCGTCACAGCCATAGCCCTGCACATTCCCGAAGCCCCTCGGACCACAGGCTGGATGGGGAGCAGGAGGAGGGGCATGGTGTGAGCTGTGGCTGCTGTTGGGGAGAAGGAACTCGGGCCTCCAGGCTCCTCCCCGCAGAGCCGGGCATCCTGCCAGCTCCGCCCCACCTCCTGCCCCTGTGCCTGCTGGCCCCGTGGCCCAGCTCCAACATCACCTTTTCAGATGGGCCTTTCCGGACCACTCAGTCTAAAGTGCTTTTCCCAGTTACTCTCCCACCGTCCTTCACAGCCATGACCACACTTTGAAACCATCTCCTTTCTGTTTGTGCATCGTGTCTCTCTCCAGGTAGCTTGTAAGATCCAGAGGGGCTCACATGCCTTCTGTGTCCCTAGCTCATGGCCTTCTGTGTTCCTAGCACAGGGCCTGGGGAGTGTTGGTGGAAGGAAGACAGGAAGGAGGGAAGGGGGAAAGGGAATGAAGGAAGGAAGAATGGCAGGGAAGGAGAGAAAGAAGGAAGGAAGGGAAGGGAGGGAGGGAAGGGAGAAAAGAAGAAGGGAAGGAAGAAAGGGAGGAGGAAGGAGGGTAGGAGGGAGGACGGGAAGGAGAGAAGAAAGGGAGGGAAGGAAGGGTGGGAGGGAAGGAGGAGGAAGAGAGGGAGAGATGGAGAAAGGAAGGAGGGAAGAAGCGCCCTTCTCAAGGTTTGGGCAGCCCGCCTCCTATGTCCAGACTTGTCCCCAGCCCAAAGATGGGGCGCCAGGGGCTTGGCCACTCCGCCATCTCACCTCGGAAGCCTCAGAAGGCCAGTCGGCCATGGAGATGGTCATCTTGTACTGGGTGTCACTGGAAGAGAAAGCCAGCCTGTTGCTCTCCCTGCCAGCGCCAGTCGTCCTTGCCCACCCACTCCACCTGGGGTCCTCCGGCTGCACTCACTTGCAGGACTCCTTGCACATGCCGATGCAGCTCTCCCTCTGGGCCACATTCATCTGCTGCTTCGAGTAGCAGCGGGCTGAGGAGAGGGGGAGGTGGGCAAAAGACTGAGGGTGTTTCTTGGCCCCCCACCCCCGTTGACCCTCTGATGGGTCCCTCTGCTCCCCTGGCCCCAGGCCACCCAAGGCTTGAGGTGAGGTGGGGGAGGGGTGTCAT